GGAAAGAAGAACAAAGGCAAGGCTGATATCTTCTGGGAAGAGAAGGTATTGTTCCCCGTACCCAAAGGTCTCTTTTGAAACATCACAGATCGTTGAAGATTTGTATCACATGAGTGCAACTTTTCAGACACCATGTCAATGACTTGGTGGAACTTCACTCGCATGGGGAGTCCCTGCCTTTCTCTCTCACACTCCTGAAACAAATAGAGGGTATTTTTTCCAGCTGAGGGGCAAGGCTGGCATGGAGGAGGGGAGAACGGATGCTGGCACTGGAACTTTCAGCCTCCGGGCTTTGTCACTGCCTACTAAAGTCTCTACAAAGGACCCTTCTGGGGTGATAGGCCTTGACAGGCAGGACCCAAGGAGACACAGGTCTGGGCCGTCTGTGGCTCCTGGATCCCACGGCATGGGAAAGGAGGTCCAGGAGTGCCCCAGGAGTGGCAATGCGGGTTCGGGTGGGAGGGGAGGGGCAAGGGCTGAAGGCAGAGCTGTCGCAGGGCAGGGCCGGGGAGGAGAACGCATTGGAGAGGAGAGCGCTCGGCCTTGTAGCGGCTCCCCCCGTGCCAAGCGCTGGGAAAGCCTCTGCCACGGCAAAGAGGAGCGGAGCCGGGGAGCAGAGCCGGTCCCCGAGCTCAGCCACAAAGGGCGGAGCCAGCGGGGATGATGTCACAAGCGGGGAGGTGAGGTCACGGGGGAAGTCCTTTCCCATTGGTCCCTGCCAGCCCAGGAGAACCCTCGCTTGTCGCAGCCAAGCCCAGGACCAGCGAGGGCCAGCAGGGGAGGCCAGGAGAGGCGGGCAAGGCAGGCAGGGCAGAGGCAGGCGCAGCGTGGAGGTCCGTGCGGGAGCAAGCTGCGAGCGGCATGTCTGGCGCAGAGGAGGTCTGCACGCTGCCCGAGCAGGAGAGGGAGCCCCAAGGGTCACGTTGTGCGGGCCCCTCCGAAGGCAGCGCAGCAAAGGCCAAAAAGGGCCGCTCCTCCCGGTCGTCCCGGGCCGGGCTGCTCTTCTCCGTGAGCCGCGTGGACAGGCAGCTGCGCAGAGGCCGCTTTGCTGAGCGCTTTGGAGCCAGGGCCCCCGTCTATCTGGCTGCGGTGCTGCAGTGTGTGACGCACAAGACCATCGACATGGCTGGCAAGATTTCCAAGAAGAGCAAGCAGCAGCGCATTTCTCCAGCGCACTTGCAGGCGGCGTTGCAAAAGAGCTCTGTGCTCAAGCAGCTCCTGCAAGGCGGCGTGCCCAGGCGCCGCGGCAGGGCTGCCCCCCAAAGACAGCGCGTGGCCTCGGCCTCCAAAAAGACGACGACCAAGAGCAAGAGGAGATGCCCCACACAAAGGGCTGCACCTGCCCGTGCCACTGCTGCTGTCAAGTGAGAAGAAAGTAGAAGCCCTTGCCCCACACCAGCAAGGCCAGGCAAGGGCTGCTTACACCACATGCAAGGCACCGCGCTCGAAGGGTGCAATAAAGGCTTTGGCAGAGGGGCTTTTTGTGCTGTGTGTTGGACTAGCGTCTCCTGGCTGGGCAAAGGCACGCAGTCGGGCATGGCGATAACGCTCTGCCCGGGGAGGCCGTAGAGCAGCCCTGGCTGAGAAGGAGGGCAGGAACCTGCCTGGAGGGCAACTGGCCCTGACGGGCAGCACCTGCCTCCAGCTCAGGTTTGCACTTGCTCTGAAAGCAGATGAGAGGGGTAGAAGGGGTCTGCCTCCCAAAGGATGGGCGCAGGCTGTGAGGGATGGTGAGGGTGGATGTTTCTAGGCACCAGTTCAGAGCTGCGAGGAGAACCCCACTTCAGCT